ACAATTCCTTTGTATTTCTCCACTGTGTTTTCATTAAAGAAAAATGGAGCTTGTGGGCCATGATAGAACAACTTTGTGCTTTTTTCCCCTTCTGATCAAGATCTTGCATCTTTCTATCCATGGAAATTAAAATAATTGGTATGAATTTGCGGTTATTTAAAAATCTTGAGTGCTTCAAAAATTATTGTTGCCCACAAAATTTGCTTTGGCCAGTAGGCTAATCTGTACAATTCCATTCACATGAGTCTTTTATGTGATTTCGAAGGCTCACACTAGTAGAGTGAGTCTGAGACTTTTGCTGAATGACCAGTTTTTGTTTATGTAAACTTCTACCATTGTAGATTGATACTTTGGTAAACTAATAAAAATGAATTCCTAATGAAATTTTGAAATGATACAAAATAAAAGCCCCATTTATTTGATTATAACCTAATTAAATTGCATCAAATATTAAAATTTATAGACAGAGTCTCACTCTTATCACCTAGGCTGGAGTGCAGCAGCACTGTCTTGGCTCACTGCAACCTCTGCCTCCTCAGTTCAAGTGATTCTCATGCCTCAGCCTCCCAAGTAACTGGAATTACAGGTGTATGCCACCACGCCCGTCTAATTTTTGTATTTTTGATAGAGACAGGGTTTTGCCGTGTTGGCCAGGCTGGTCTTGAACTCCTGGCCTCAAGTGATCCGCCCTTGACCTCCCAGAGTGCTGGGATTACAGGCATGAGCCACAGCGCCCAGGCCCCGCAAATATAAACATTTCTGAATGCTTTATTTTTTATTTCTCTGCTTGTCATGAATCAGTAACAATTTATGGACCAGGACCACACTTTGAGTAGAATGGCTGAGAATACATGTGCGGATACTACCATCTGTTCTTTTAAACCCCATCTGAGTAGACTGGGATAACTGAAGACTTTACGGTCTTCATATCTTACTTTCCCTGTTTGGTCACATCGCTGTAGTGAATAGCCAGTACCCACCTAAAGAACTGTAGAAACTAAAGCAAATGTGTGGGAAAATGGTAGCTTAGTTGCTGTGGTAGCAATTCTTGTGCCTTATGTTTATTTACATTTTCTAGTTTAATGTTTTAACCTGAATTTCCTGGAGTTTGAAGGATGTGCTGTGGAAACTTGGGAGACAGTTTGAAGGAAACCAGTTAGCCCCTAAACAAGTATTAACAGGTTGGCAAGGAGCTGTGTTTGAATCTTGGCTCTACTACTGGCTTGCTGTATGAACTTGGCGACGTTTCTCTGTGAATCTGTTTCCTTATATATAAATGAAGATAGAGATGCCTCCTCTACTAACCTCAGTGGTGGTTGAGAAGTTTCAATAAGGTTGGTAATAAATGTTAAATTCTAAAATGCTACGTAAATATAATGCATTAAGCAAGTGTGCTTCTAAGAGTCAAGCCAATTAGAAAAAATGGTTGAGACACCAGCTGTATTTATTAGGAGAAAGCATTTCAGAATGTCATGTATTCACATTTGCGTGATTTTTATATATGGTGAAGATATTGAGTGCTTTTCATCAGTTTTATTTGCTGGAATACCATCAAATCAGAGTGATAACCTGATTATCTCATGTTGATCTGGAATTGTAATTGGCCTTTAAATGCTGGGATTACAGGTATGAGATACCACTCCTGGCCTCCTTAGATATTGCTGATGAATAAAAACAGGGGCAACTAAATTATTTAGTAAGTCCACTTTGTTTAGTTGGAAAAAAATCCATTCAGAACATGAGGCACCCGAGGGAAAAATATTTTTACAGACGGAACTACCTGGACAAGCACGAGCCTGTAATATCAAAGGAATTTAACCTAGGTGTGTGTGTGAGATGGAGCAGGAACCCCTTCTTAAAGGCCTGTGGGCGCCCTGAGCATGAAAATAAAGGAAAATCTTGAATTCCTTTGAGGGAATTTCTGGGGTAGTCCTGAGATATAAACAAGCAACTTGATAAGCAAGAAGATAATAGTAACTTAAAACAATTGCCAAGGAAGTTAAGAGTCCAGATGCTTGGTTCCCTATAGAAACTAAAGATAACATCTTAAAATATGACCCTGAGTTGTTTTCAGAATCTCAGATCCCCACCAAGTGGATTTGCTGTCATGTGGGCCTCAGATAAGCAAGGACAACTTGCACTGCTGTTCTTTGTTCTGAATTTCTTCCTGAGGGGCCTGGAGGAGGTCAAGCCTGTGAGCTGGAGCTAACATTCTTTTCTGTTGACCCAAATTTTAGACAAAGCTTCTTAGCCAATTGCAAATCAGAAAATCTTTGAACCCACCTATGACCTGTTGGGCCCTGCTTCGAGATATCCCACCTTTTAGATCAAACCAATGTACAGCCTCCTCCATGTATTGATTTATGACTTTGCCTGTAACCTCTGCCTCTCCACCTTTGTGGGTTTTTTGGGGTTTTCTTGTTTTTGTTTTTTGAGACAGGGTCTTGCTCTGTTACCCAAGCTAGAGTGCAGTAGTGCAATCAGCTGCTCATTGCATCCTCAACCTCCTAGGTTCAAGGAATCCTCCTGCCTCAGCCTCTCAAGTAGCTGGGACTACAGGTATGCACCAACACATCTGTCTAATTTTTAAAAATATTTTGTAGAGTCAGGGTCTCACTATGTTGGCCAGGCTGGTCTCAAACCAGCTCAAGGGATACTCTCACCTTGGCCTCCCAAAGTGCTAGGATTACAGGTGTGAACCATTGTACCTGGCCTTGCCTCCCCACCTTTAAAACCCTTACCTGTAAGCCATTGAGGAGTTGGAGTTCTTGCTCGGTGCCCTACAATAAATACCTCACTTCTCTTGCTGCAGTCCCAACATCAGTGCTTGGCTTTGCTGTGCCAGGTGAGCAGACCCCAGTTTGGTTTGATAATGTTACTTTATAAAACCAAATCTAACACTAAAACTTTAGATTTATTTTACATTATCAATAGCCTCTCTCCCACCAATACTCAATCTCCAAAAAATCTTCCACCAATTCTCGGTAAAACCCACCGAAATCGTGGAACATTGAATTCCCTAAAAGACCAAGAGATTCACAGGACATAGAATTGAATGCATTACTTAACAGGCAGAAGCCATCTTGGTTGAAGGAACTAGCCTGATACAATAGTAAGTTTGCCTAAGATGATTTTTGTTTATATCATTTGAAATAAAAAGTGATTTTTCAGTGAACAAACAATTACAGTGTGTTCAAAAATACCCAGCCGGGCACGGTGGCTCATGCCTGTAATCCCCGTCCTTTGGGAGGCTGAGGCAGGCTGATTACCTGAGGTCAGGAGTTCAAGACCAGCCTGACCAACATAGTGAAACCCTGTCTTTACTAAAATACAAAAATTAGCCGGGCATGGTGGTGCACGCCTGTAATCCTAGCTACTTGGGAGGCTGAGGCAGGAGAATTGCTTGAACCTGGGAGGCGGAGGTTGCAGTGAGCTAAGATGGCACCACTGCACTCCAACCTGAGTGACAAGAGCAAAGCTCTGTGAAAAAAAAACAATTAATAGTGTATTCATACTATGGACTGCATGGTGTAGGCAAGAAGAATGAAGTTTTGGAATCGGTAGACATGAAATAATGCCCAAGACACATTAAGAAAAGACTGGTGAGTTGTAGGGTAATATATATGATAGAATCCCATTTGACTATAAAGAAAATAGGTTAAATATGTATATTTGGCATATATATACACAGATATGTTCATATATGCATAAGCAAGTCTAGAAGGATACACACCAAGTTTGACTGTTGTTTCCTCTGGATTGAGGGAAGGAGAGAGATCTTTTACTTTATTTAGTTTTTGTTAATTAACTCTAGCCAAAGATACTTTAATATACATAGACTTTAGTGGCATTTGAATTTTAAAGAAGGATTTATCACCTCTGTAAGCCAAACCAAAAATACCCACTTAATTTTTAAAGGGCAGTGGAAATGTTCTCCTCAAGAATTGGAAAAGCTGACAGCCAGGTTGGGTGGATTCAGGGGTGCAGAGAGATGCAAACACTGGCAACTCACACCATTAATGGGAATTGAGTTGGGGATAGATGTGCTAACAGTGATCACAAGGATTTGCTCTGCTTTTAGTAAGCTATGGATGTGTCTGATGCTTCCCTGGAAACTGGGCAGAAGAAACCTATGCTGGATATGTAAAAGCTGATGCCGGTAAGACAGTTTCCACTTCCCCCAGTATCCTCTCCAGTGTTGTCAAGGAGGCAGCAAGTGAATCACGTCCCTGGGGATTCAACCTATCATATTTGGCTCCTTTGTCCTGGTTACCTCTCCAGCATTCTATTCTGCCATCTCTTCTCAATCCCTTGTTACACTTACCCAGCTCTTCGGAATTGTAGGGTTTCTCTCTGCGTTCTTGCCTGGGGCAAGATATCCTGATAACCTTCTCTCTCACTGCTTTTGCTTCTCACCTTTGTGAGGTATTGCTTCAAATCAGAGTAAGCACAAAATGCTCTCAGGTATTTACCATCTTACGTGGCCTTCAGAGGACATGAGCTCTCCTTGCATACCCGCAACACCATAAAATGAGAAAGTACAATATATACCTTTTGGGGTTCTAAGATCATAACCTCTGAAAGGACATTCTGTTGACAAAGCATGTGTGTTCTGTAGGGTGTCTTATCCATTGCTGAACAAGTGGTACAATCGTCACTTCCTACTTTTGGCCCATTCCAGAACCAGGAAGAACGCTATTGAATTGCAGTTAATATTCTGAAAGCATAAATTTCAAATTGGTCTTCTAGCTACAATGGTGTAGTTTTTCTGAATTGCTAAATAATGTTTACTGTTAGAACCAGTGTAATTAGTTGCATTGTCACTTAAAATATGTGCCAGACCTGGCTGTGATTAAGGGTTTTGTTTATGCTCAGCTTGACAGGACACAGCACCCAGAGCCTCTGATTTTTCGGCAGGAGCAGGCACACACACAAAGGATGAGGGCTTTATTTTCGGGTTTTATTTCATTCATTCTTTAAAACAGTTTTTTTTTTCACAGTTTGAAACATAATTTATAGCTTAATATTTATACTAGCTAATCTCTGTGATTTTTATTTATTAGAAAAATAAAAACCGCAGGCTTTGGATTTTAAAACTTTCCACAGGAATGTTCAGGATGGCAGAGCTTTAAAAGTTCAAAAGAAACCCTTTTTCCAAAGAAATGGGAAGCCAAGGAAAGAAGCTTTTTAAAAAAAAAAAAACTGTAACTTCCCACACTACTGATGTGAATAAACTGTCATGAGATTTTGGGGGGCAATTTAATTGACATCTGCCGTGGAGGCCTCTCAGTGGATGTTCTTTTCCAACTCTCCTTTGATTATGCAGATTGCCAGCCCTGACTTCGGACAAGTGGAAGAGCAGAGTTCTGAAAGGCAGGTAGTGTGGAAGAGGACATGCTGCCCCCAGCAGCTACCCAACTCCTACTGCTTTCCTGCTGGTGGCCTCTCTGTGTGAAAGACAAGAAAGAAATCAGCAGATTATCCTTGAGCCCCTTGGATACTCCTCACCTCGTTTCTTCACAGCACTGGAAACTGTCCTGGCCGAGGGCCTGGTTCCTTTGACTGCTGCATGGGGAAAGGGCACAGTGTGTGAGTTTACTCGTGTGTCTATAGGAGGCGCCTTGAGGGTATCTTCTACCTGTCAGGTGCTAGAGCTACACATCTGTTGTGTAGACCAACTGCTCTCACCTTTTGAATCAAGCAGTGCTGTGGGAGTCCTACTCTGGATACTGACAGTTCCTGTCTGAATATTCTGAGAGATCCCTTCCCACAACTCTGGATTCAATATTGAGGGAAAGGGTTGTAACTTATCCAAACAAATCCTTCTCTGCCACATAGGACATAGAGAAGATATGGACATTGGAGACCTGAAAGGAGGGAGAAGAGAAAGGAATGTTCTAGCACTTCTTAACCTTTGCATGGGTGACTTTGCAGCTGAGGACTAGGAACACATCATCATCGGGTGGTACTTTTGGTCTATAGCTATGAATATTGGAGAGAGAAGAGAATGGAAGATAAATCCATGCCTCCATTTAGAGCTTGTCAAATGGAAGTTGGGATGGAGAAACAGGTGAACATGGTGACCAACAACCGGAGGGAATAATGGCCACAGCCAGCTGTGGTCCAGTCCTCAGTCTCACCTGGAGCCCCAAGACCTTAGGTGATTTTTATCAATTTCTAATACTCAGAATAGCATTTTCCAGTATAGCTTTCCAGATCCTTGAAGCCTCATGCTTTTCATAAGTTGCTCAGAGAACTCTGTGCATACTGTGGGCTTCTCTTGATACCCTGACTGTGAGGTAGGCAAAGGCCAAGCGTTCCTCAGCCCAAGTAGGAGAGGGCAAGGGCCTGACTTGAGACGTGAAGCGTTAGTGACTGAGGGGGACAGATCCAAAGCCCGAGATGACTGATTTTCCAGCTGCATCACCCACTGTGCAAGCTCAGCTTTCACACAGGTGGCATCCAGCGCTTCAGGAGGCCAGGTGCTGCCCATAGCAGAGATGAGCTGTTGTTTTACTTACAGTGGCCTAAATTTGAGCCATGGGAGGGAAAATCCAATTAATGTTGGAATGATGGAGGAAGAGAAAGATAATTTTCTCTCTATTCCTTGTATGCAAAGGTAGCCTCTCAGGAATCCACTGAGCTCCTCCTCCGTAAAACTCCCAGCCACCGGGCCTCACCTCAGCAACTCACTGCAGCACAACAGCACCAACCCCCACCCCTAGTCTCTTCACGTCTGCTCTGAGGCAGCAGATTGTCTGAAAGCCTCAGGTTTTCTCACGATAGCTCCCACAATCGTGCTTGGTTGTGGGATATCAGATGGGGTACTGGTAGGCACAGCAGTTGCAGAGCAGACAGGAGCACAGAAAGCATGTTCTAATGCTGGCTGCACACCCATCTGGAAATCCTCTGGCCTCTGATACAGGGACTCTGACAACAGGCCATCCTGCACGCCAGAGCGAGTGTCATGAGCAAGCAGCCAACGCTTGCACTCACCCATTGGTTATGGGTCAGCACGGCTGTGACGCTGCAGCCAAGCAAAGCTCCTGGTTCAAGGCCTCAATCACTCTTCTCCTTGAACTTGGCGTGAGTCCTAAAACTAGCTTTGTCCATCCACGATCCTCAACTCCATGCAGTCAGTGTTAATCTCCTGCTGTCCTGTCAGGAGCGGGCTGCAACAGGACCACATACAATGGGTATAATAGCTGTGCTTGCTCTTTTCTGTTGGAGAATGGTTTCCTCTTGAGGTAGGAATGCAGTTAGGCCCAGCCTTGGCTAACATTCAACATCTTCCAGCTCAATCTCCTCAGTTGTGCTTTCTGTAAAACAAAGACAAGTCAATGAGTTGGAAATCAAGCCACATAGTGCTTTCTTGGTGAGAACAAGGTAACACATGCCACCTCTGGCCTCAAAACCACTCATGGATTATCACAAGGCCTAGGGAGTTACCTTTGAGTTTGTGTCTTCTCTTCCTCTGAAATTTATATGCACACTTATTACAAACCCACATGAGGCTGATTAACACTGCGGCCACAGCAGCGAGAAAAGCAAGGATGACAGCGACAAAGTGCAGGTCTTCATAGAGGATCTCTATGGAGTGAGGGTGAGGGGAGGGGGAAGACAACATTTCTTTTAATATTGTGAAATCGACCTCCCACACACTCACCGTTCAGCGGGGTGCCCGGGGCCCGGGGATGTCTTACCAGAGACGTGCAGCACGATGGTGCCAAACTGGCTGCTCCCCTGGCGTTCCGTCACGGTGATGACATAGTAGCCGGAATCCCTCACTCCCACACTGAAGAGCTGGATGGAGCCGTTGTCGAAGGTGCAGACTCTGTCCTTGTGGCTTTGGGAGATGTTGGCCTGAGTCCCTGGTTTCCACTCCACGATCTTCTGCGTTCCCCAGTTGGACGAATACGTCCATTCGATGGTGGGCACTCCGTGACAGGAGTACTCAACGGAGAGCAGGATGTCGTCTTTGACGGTGGCATTGATGGTGGCCTGAGGAATGTACAGGGACACGCCCTGACCTGCAGGATGATATGCTGGATGTTGGGCACATATATGTGGCTTTATACTGAAGTGAACTTACATAATTCGTTAATCTATTTCACAAATATTTATTGCGTGCCTATTATATGCCAGGAACTGTTCTAGGTTTTGGTGCTTAAGCGATAATGCTGAACAAGACACAAGGCTCCCTGGAGATAGAGAGCTCTACATACAGAGCAACCTTTTTCTATTCTGAAGAAACTCTGTTTAGAATGCTCCCTTTTATTTCAACCAGAAATCTGACACCTTTGTAGCAAGGTGGACTATAGAGGGTCTCTCCTAGTATATGGGACTGTTCTCATGACTCTCTGGATCACTCCCTCTCACTGAAGCCCTCAATGTGTAACGTAGTTATTCTTTAACACAAAACAAAGTGCAGAGTTTAAGATGACTGGAATAAAGAAGAAAACAGAGGTCAAATTCCAGGCCAGACCTCGGAGGGCAGGAATCATGTTTTCTTTATCCCTATGGTCCCTGAACCCAGTACAATGCCTGACACATGGTGGTTGGTCAATAAATGTTTGCTGAGTAAATGAATAAGTGAATGACCAAATATTTACAGCAACAAGAAGCATGAGCTTTTTCCTAATAAGAATGTCAATGCTTGGGTGGTTTGAAAAATTAGGTACATCTAAAAGCTAACATAGGGAAGAGAACTATATTTAAGACTTTCTGTGCCAGTTACTATGTTATCTACTTTACAGTCCTTATCTATTTTATTGTATTTATTTTTTGAGATGGGGTCTTGCTCTTTCACCTGGGCAGGAGTGCAATGGTTTGATCTCAGCTCACTGCAACCTCCACCTCCTGGGTTCAAGCAATTCTCCTGCCTCAGTCTCCCAAGTAGCTGGGACTACAGGCGCCTGCCACCACACCTGGCTAATTTTTTGTATTTTTAGTAGAGACAGGGTTTCACTATGTTGGCCAGGCTGGTCTCAGACTCCTGACCTCATGATCTGCCTGCCTCAGCTTCCCAAAGTATTGGGATTACAGGCATGAGCCACTGCACCCAGCCATCTTTTATTTTTTACATAGGCACACCAACATGCCCACATAACCAGTAAATGGAAGAGGAGGGATTTCAGCACAGCTCTGATTCCAATCTTGGATCTCTATGTGGGGAAAAGGAAGAGAGATCAGCCTGTTACTGTGTCTATATAGAAAGAAGTAGACATAAGAGACTCCATTTTGTTCTGTATTTGAGATGCTGTTAATCTGTGACCCTACCCCCAACCTTGTCCTTGCAAGAGACATGTGCTGCGGTGACTCAAGGTTGAATGGATTTTGGGCTGTGCAGAATGTGTCTTTGTTAAACAAGTGCCTGAAGGCAGCTTGCTGGTTAAAAGTCATCACCATTCTCTTAATTTCAACTACCCAGGGACACGTACACGGCCAAAGGTTGCAGGGACCTCTGCCTAGGAAAGCTAGGTGTTGTCTAAGGTTTTTCCCCATGTGATAGACTGAAACAATGCTACTAAAAGGTTTATGGAGATGTTTGCATATGCATCTCAAGGCACAACATTTTCCTTTAACCTTATTCATGTCACAGAGATTTTTGTTCATATGTCTTACTGCCGATTTCCTCTTTTTCTTTGATCCTATTGTCCTGCCACTCCCCTGTCTTTAAGATGGTAAAGATAATTATCAATAAATACTAAGGGAACTCAGAGACTGGTGCCAGCGTGGGTCCTCTGTAAGCTGAGCGCCGGTCCCCTGGGTCCCCACTTTCTCGTTCTCTTTACTTTGTCTCTGTGTCTTATTTCTTTTCTCAAGTCTCTCGTTCCACCTTACGAGAAACAGCCACAGGTGTGGAGGGGCAGGCCACCCCTTCATCTCTACTTTGTTTTTTGTTTTCTTTTGTTTTTGAGACAGTCTTGCTTGCTCTGTCGCCCAGGCTGGAGTGCAGAGTCATGATCTCAGCTCACTCAACCTCCACCTCCTGGGTTCAAGTGATTCTTTTTTTTTTTTTTTTTTTGAGATGGAGTCTCGCTCTGTCGCCCAGGCTAGAGTGCAGTGGCCCAATCTCAGCTCACTGTAAACTCCGCCTCCCGGGTTCACGCCATTCTCCTGCCTCAGCCTCCGAGTAGCTGGGACTACCACCTCGCCTGGCTAATTTTTTGTATTTTTAGTAGAGACGGGGTTTCATCGTGTTAGCCAGGATGGTCTTGGTCTCCTGACCTCATGATCTGCCCGCCTCGGCCTCCCAAAGTGCTGGGATTACAGGCGTGAGCCACCGCGCCAAGCTAAATTTTTTTTGCATTAATATTTTTAGTAGAAATGGGGTTTTGTCATGTTGGCCAGACTGGCCTCAAGTGATCTGCCTTCTCGGCCTCCCAAAATGTTGGGATTACAGGCATGAGCCACCATGCCCAGCCCATCTCTCTACTTTGTGACTATCTATCAATCATGTATCTATGTTTCCTGATTTCTCTGACCTCAAATATGAGCAGTTGCAGTAGTGATTACTGCTATAAGATTTAGAGAACTATATTTAGAACTAGTGACAAATCTATATTATAACCTCTGTGCATTTCGTGTACATTCTGTTAACTATGTTGGTCAAGGTTACTAACAGGTTAATATCCTGGGAGACTACCAGCCCTTTTCACACCCTCATGGAACTTCACTTTGAGCATTTCAGTTACTTTGGCCCAGGAAACTACAAAACTAAAAAATAAATAAAAATAATAACTCCAATTTTCTCAGATGCTGATACAACTGGAAACTGGCTGATTGATTCTTGCTGGTTTTTATATTTTCTCTGGACCAGAGAAACCTCTTGCCTTTTTTTTTTTTTTTTTTTTTTTTTTTGGTAGCGATGAGGTCTTTCTGTGTTGCTAGGCACTGGTCTTGGACTCCTGGCCTCAACCTCCCAGAGTGTTGGGATTACAAGTGTGAGCCACTGTGTCCAGCCTAGAAAAGCTTCTTTAAAATTTTTTTCAAATTTAATTGACAAATAGATTGTATACATTCAAGGTATACAGCCTGATGATATATCTCTATGTTGTGTAATGATGATCACAATTAAATTAATGAATATATCCATCACCACTCGTGCTGAACATGTAGTTCCCAGAATTTGTTTATCTTATAACTCAAAGTTTGGACCTTTTGATCTACATCTCCCTCTTCCCCACTGGCCCCAGCCTCTGGCAACAATTCTACTGTATTTCTATGAGTTCAATTTTTTTAGATTCCACATATAAGTGAGATCATACAGTATTTGTCTTCCTATGTCTGGCTTATTTCATTTAGCAACTTAGCATAATGTCGTTCAGGTTCATCCATGTTGTCACAAATGGCATGGTTTTCTTCTTCATATGGCTGAATAATATTCATATATATCTTTATTTATATATTCATCTGTCAATGGACACTTAGGTAGTTTCCATGTCTTGGCTGTTGTGAATATGGTGCAGTGAACAAGAACATGCAGATATCTCTTTGTTACACTGATTTCAGTTGTTTTTGATATATACCCAGTAGGATTGGTGGGTTGTAGGGCACTTTTCTTTTCTTTTTCGAGACAGGCTCTCACTCTGTTGCCCAGGCTGGAGTGCAGTGGCGTAGTCTCGGCTTACTACAACCTCCGCCTCCCAGGTTCAAGCGATTCTCCTGCCTCAGCCTCCTGAGTAGCTGGGATAACAGGCGCCCGCCACTTCGCCCAGCTAATTTTTGTCTTTTTAGTAGAGATGGGGTTTCACCATGTTAGTCAGGCTGACCTCGAACTCCTGGCATCAGGTGATCCACCCACCTTGGTCTCCCAAAGTGCTGGGATTACAGGCATGAGCCACCATGCCTGGCTGGTACTTCTATTTTTAATTTTTCTGAGGAATTTCCATACTTTTTTTCATAATAGCTATATCAATTTACATTCCCACCAACATCGTGCAAGGATTCCCTTTCTCTATATCTTGACCAACATTTGTCATCTTGTCTTTTTGACAATAGCCAGCCTAACAGGAGTGAGGTGATATCTCATTGTGGTTTTGATTTGCACTTCCCTGATTAGTTCAGCACCAATTTATGTACCTGTTGGCCATTTGTATTGTTTTCTTTGGAGAAATGGCTATTCAGGTCCTTGTGCCCATTTTTAAATCATTTGTTTCTTTTTTGTTGTTGTTTGGTTTATGCTATTGAGTTGTATGAGTTCTGTTTATATTTTAGATATTAACCCCTTTCCAGGTTTGCAGTTATTTTTCTGAATTCTGTAGATTTCCTTTCCATTTTGTTGATTGTTTCCTTTGCTGTACAGAAGGTTTTTAGTTTGATGTTGTCCCACTTACTCATTTTTGGTTTTGTTGCTTGTGTTTTGGGTATCATCCAAAAAGTTATTGCCAAGACCAATGTCAAGAAGTTTTTCCCTATTTTCCCTTTAGGAGTTTTATGGTTTCACATCTTACACTTAAGTGTTTAATCCAGTTCAAGTTAATTTTTATGAATGATGTAAGATAAGGGTTCAATTTCACTCTTTTACATGTGAATTTTCAGTTTTGCCAACACCCTTTTTGAAGAGACTCCTTTCTTCATTGTGTATTCTTGACACTTTAGTCAAATATTAGTTGACCATATATAAATGCCTTTGTTTCTGGGCTATTTTGTTTCATTGATCTGTGTGCCTGTTTTTACGCCAGTGCCATACCACTTCAGTTTACTATAGCTTTGCAATTTGCTTTGAAATCAGGAGGCATGATGCCTTCCACTTTGTTCTTCTTTCTCAAGATTGCTTTGGCTATTCAGGATCTTTTGTGCTTCTATATGAATTTGATTTTTTTTGTTTTTTGTTTTTTTTTGAGACAGGGTCGCCCTCTGCCACCTAGGCTGGAGTGCAGTGGTACAATCATGGCTCCCTGTAGCCTCGACCTCCCTGGGGTTAAGAAGATCCTCCCACCTCAGCCTCCCAAGTAGCTGGGAATATAGGTGTGCACCACCACATCCAGGTAACTTTTGTATTTTTTGTAGACACAGGTTTTCACCA